GAGCATCGGCGCATCTCCCGGCCCATCGTCCCGGGTCGTGTCGGGCCGAGAGCTCCTCGCGCTTGCCGTCTTCCGGCTAGCTTTTGTCATCGAGTATCTTGCCACCGTCTCGAAACGCCCTCGATCTTGTGAATTTCTGTGGGCCTTTCACGCTGATCTTTTGTTCAACGGCATGACGTATCAGGGTCGCCGTGCGCAGTCTTTCCTCACACCAGCGCGGTGGCAACGTTCGCCTCACATGTCGCATGTGCCACCTGCCATCGCTCGGACGTCCATTCCCTGTGTTTTCTTGGGTCTCGTGCGTGTTTTTTTCACCAAGTGGTCAAGGATGCTCCTCGATGGTCCTCGCCGAAGGAAAAATGCACACGTCCGAGCGATGCCAAGGCCACGCCTGCAGACTGAAGCTCGTTCAGGCGGCCTCAGAGCTGTTCGGGTGCGCGGCCGTCCTCACTTGTGGCCGGATGTGGTGCTCGCAGGAGGAGGAGGAGGAAGAGGAGGAGGAGGAGGCTGCCGCCCCTTGGCAAGTCGCTCAAGGGCCAACCCGCGGGCGGCCGGGAACGGCTTCGACGTTCCAGAGGTTGGCATTCTGTCCATCGCTCGGACGTCCATTCCCTGTGGCTTTTTCGGTCTCGTGCGTGGTTTTTCCGCCAAATGATCAGAGATGCTCCTCGATGGTCCTCGCCGAAGGAAAACTACACACGTCCGAGCGATGCCTAGCATTGCGCGGGCAGCATACGCACGGGTGGCGCGCGCTGGTCGACTGCAGGATCGCGAGCTGACTGCGACCAGCGCTTCTGGTCGGCAAGACATCGTCTGCAAGGCAATGCCATCGTGCACTTCGCGAGGTAGCTTGACGGGTGAGGCAAGCGACGAGCTCCCACAGGGGAGTGCGACATACACTTAAACAACTGTCTCTTACGAGTGCACATAATATGTATATTATAATATTATATATAGATGTCCGATTCTGGAAGCCACATAATTACCCAAAAGCGTTTTCATCTCTTGGGGACGCAATTTTTACTTCCGCCGCCTTCCGCCGAACTTCCGCCGGCGACAAGGGCCTCGTTTTACTTCCGCCGACCTTCCGCCGCACTTCCGCCGCCTTCCGCGGCGGAAAAGAAGACAACTCCTTCTATCCTGGAAGGCAAGGTCCTTTCTGGAACGCCCCATATATACATTTATATATACATATACAGATATGTATATGTATATCTATGTATACAAGCGCTGACCACGCATTATTGGCTTTTGCACTTTCGATGTGTTCTCTCTATGTGGTGCAGTGTGTGCGGTGAAACCTGTGCGGCGCAACCGAGTCTGGTCGCATCCGCGAACGACCACAGCTCCAATGTTCGTGCAGCCGTCCCACCCCGCCGTGTGCAACTTCTTGGCAAATCTAGCTCAGCGACGATAGCGACGAGGCCGATGATGCTGATGCTGATGATGCTGATGATTATGCTGCTTATGCTTATGATCATGGTGATGCTGATGATGCTGGTGATCCTGTTCATGACGACGGTGGGGGCGATGTCGACGGCGGCGATGGTGATGGTGATTTAACTGATGGTGATGATGATGACGGTGGCAACGGCGACGCTGACGATGATGATGATATTGATGATGACGGTGATGATGATGCTGATGAGGAGTATGTTGATGATGAGAATGACGATGATGATCGTCATCGTCAAATGCGCGCGCAGAAATTGAACGAGGGCGACGGCATCGACGATCATTCAGTGCAGGAGCAAACAATGCTGGTAATAGCACGAACGAGGCTAACAACTACGAGTAACACGAATACGAATAATAATCGGAATAAGGACACACGAATGTATTTTATCAGGTAATTGTGTCAATCGTAAACAGCGTGGGCCGCCAACAATGTTGTCTTGCACTGTGTGCGGTGCAATCTAGGTGGCGCAATTCACCTGCCGAACTTGAAGATGTCAACTCCACTGCTCGCGCAATCATCCCACCCACCCACCCGTAATTTGGTTTGCCAGACCCATGCGGGAGCGATTGCGATGCGTGCTGGGTGTTGGCTGGTGCATCTCTGCGGCCGCGCTAGCCCTCGCATGCTCGCAAAGCCAGCTAGTTTGGCGCGACCGACGCGAACGCGGTGGCGCTGACCGTTCGGCACATCCAAGCGGGCACTTCAGTGCGAGTCGGCAACTTGGGCGGGCGCGGTATCATGGCAACGTCCACAACGGTAGACATGATGATGATGGTAGCGATGCTGGCGACGATGCTCACAGCGACGACGGGGCAGCCAGTGACGTCGCCGATGCTGATCACGCCGACGACGATGACGGAGTCGCCACGTCGGTTATGAAGGTTTTGGAGGAATTCGACATGCGCGCACGGCAAACGCGCGAGAGTGGCCCGCATGGTTTTATTTGACACCGATCGGGACACTCCAGCACGCGTTCAAGGGCGTTCGAACGATTTCGACATGCGCGCGCGAAGTCCGTTTGGTAGCATGTTATGAACATGTTGAAAAACGTCTCAAGAATTCGAAAGAGAGTGCGCGACGTTTGTTGAACATCCGTGTTGCGAAACCCTGTTTTTTTTGTTGTGGGGAGGGGGCGCTCGATTTTGAACTCCTCCCGAAACCGGAGGTTTTTGAAGGATTTCGGCATGCGCGCGCGACGACGCGCGGGCGTGCACTTCGTCCAATTTTGTTGCAATGGATTCGCGAACAAATGCCATTAACAAAAAATGTCACCGTCTAGTATTTTTTGCAAGGGAACCGAGGGGGGGGGCGATACTGGTTTGGCTGGGATAATACGAATTCGCAGGTAGGATGGACATTGGGTCAGAATCATCTGTGTTTTGCGTCGGTTCCTGGGGAATCGATAAGTCCGGGGGGGAGAGTGGTATAATCTATCTCCTCTTGAGAAATGGTAATCCACGTGGTGCATTGGAGGTGGTGCAATCCACGTGGTGCGATCTATGTGGTGCAAGGCAGTGCACGGCAGTGCCAGGCGAGATCTGTAAAAGTCATGCCAAGAAGCAGTGCGGTGCGAACCCAATGCCGTGCGCTTGCGCTTGCGATGCGATTCCGATGCCGCGCAGTTCGATCGCACATCCAAGCGGGCACTTCAGTGCGAGTCGGCAACTTGGGCGGGCGCGGTGTCATGGCAACGTCCACAACGGTAGACACGATGATGATGGTAGCGATGCTGGTGACGATGCTCACAGCGACGACGGGGCAGCCAGTGACGGCGCCGATGCTGATCACGCCGACGACGATGACGCAGGGCAACGGGCGGCGGCACGCGGCGCGGCGACCGCTCTCAGCTCCGCGCCCTCGCGCCGCCCCTCTGGAGCGGGCCGCCTCCGGGGCCCACGCCGCGGCGCGCAGAATGCAGAGGCCTCCTCGGGCCCTCGCAGGAGGAGGACAAGAGGAGGAGGGAGGAGGGAGGAGGGGGAGGAGGAGGGAGGAGGGAGGAGGGGGAGGAGGGGGAGGAGGAGGAGGAGGAGGAGGGAGGAGGGGGAGGGGGAGGAGGGGAGGAGGAGGAGGAGGAGGAGGAGGAGGAGGAGGAGGAGGAGGAGGAGGAGGAGGAGGAGGAGGGGGAGGAGGAGGAGGAGGAGGAGGAGGAGGAGGCGCCACGGGCGGCGGCGACTGGCGGGCACGCGGCCGCGGAGCCGGCGAGCGGGCTCTTCGCTGGGAAGGAGCCCGGGCGGCGACGCACGGCAGCGGGGCCGCCGGGGGCCGCCGCCGGGCCCCGCCCCGCGGAGGACGAGCAGGATGTGCCCCAGGCGCATGCACTCGCCATCGCTCGGACGTCCATTTCCCGTGCATTTTTCGGTCTCGTTCGTTTTTTTGTTTGTTTGTTGTTGGTTTGTTTTTTTTCTCCGATGGTCCAGGATGGTCCTCGATGGTTCTCGCCGAGAGAGAGAGAGAGAGAGAGAGAGATGCACACGTCCGAGCGATGCCGAGATGCACGGCGTGTGGGGCATCGCGCGAGCAAGACGGAGAGGAGGCTGTGCTCTGGAGCGCGGCGGCAGCGAGCCCTCCGAGGCGCTTCTCTGTCCGCCCGGAGTCGACAAGCGCGCTCCCTTGCTCACAAAGCAAACACTCGCAAATGGCCGGGATCTGGCATGGGGGATTTACGTTGCGAGGCGAACACGTATGTGTGTGTGTGTGTGTGTGTGTGTGTGTTCGGGTGTTTGCGAGTAGGCGCTTTGCGAGTAGTGGACCGCGCTCGGTGACGGAGGCCTGGGGCAGGCAGCCGCCCCATTGTCGGGCGGGAGCGCCGGGCCCCTTGCGCGAGGCCGGGGTCTTGGCCGACTGGGCCCGAGCACCTGCAGCCCGGGGGCCCGTGCGCCCCACGTCGCCCCGCGCTTGCGGGGGGCGGAGGGCGGAGAGGGGGGTGGGAGGAGGAGGAGGAGGAGGAGGAGGAGGAGGAGGAGGAGGAGGAGGAGGAGGAGGAGGAGGAGGAGGAGGAGGAGGAGGTCAAGGAGAAGGGTGAGCAGGATTGGCACGGGGGGAGAGCAGGAGCGGGAGGAGGGGGATCCTCGAGAGGAGGAGAGGTTTGGGGGTGGGTGGGAGGGAGGGGAGAGGGGGTGAGGGCAAGGATGAGCAGGGAGGAGGGGATGAGGATGAGGATGATGACGAGGATGAGGATGAGGATGATGATGCTGATGAAGATGGTGATGATGATGGTGATGGTGATGATGCTGATACTGATGCTGATGATGATGATGCTGATGATGACGATGACGATGACGATGACGATGATGATGCTGATGATGATGCCGATGATGACGATGACGATGATCATAATGAGGATGATGATGAGGCTGATGACGAGGAGGATGACGATGAGGACGAGGATGACGATGAGGAGATGGATCAAGTGGGGAGAAAGACTACAAGCAACATGGGGAGGAGGCGAAGGATGAGGATGGGGAGGAGCTAGAGGAGAGGGAACTTGGAGGCAGGGAAAGGCAAGGAGGAGAAGGGGCAGGTGGAGGATGGAGGAGGACAAGTGGCAGGAGGACTGGGGGGGGGGAGCAGGCGCCGCGCGCACGCCTGCGAAGCACTCAGGGGCAGTAGATGCGCATCGTGGAGGTCATCGGGCCCCTGCACATCGGGCACTCGGCGCCCTCCGTGCCCCGGATGCCCTGCAGGCACTGCTCGCAGCAGCACATGTGCCCGCAGGGGACGACGGCGGAGTCGGCCCGGCGCTCCTCGCGAGCGACGAGCATATTGAAGGGGCCCAGGGGCACACAAGTAAATGCACCAAATCCCGGGATCCCCCCATACTTTTCACTATCTTACGGATGTCTGTCTTCCACCCACTTCCCATGCTTTCCCATATCTTCCTCGGAATCGACGATGACTTGTGTCTGTGTGGCTCCTTCCCTCCGGACATGTCCACATCCACGCCCTCGCAGCCTGGACTCTCAGGCGCGATCCCATGGCTGCGCTCCGAGACGAGGGGTCTCCGCACCGAGGGGCCCCGTCCGCGGGGGCGGGGCCGACGAGATCCAGACCGCGAGGCCGTGGAGGCGGGCGTGCCTCCCGCCCCACGAGCTCCATGCAGATGATGCACAGCCTGTCGTCGCTGACGGCGTTGCCCGCCTCCGGAGCCGCCGCCGCCGCGCCGGCCTGGCCCGCCGCCGGCAGCGGCGGCGCCACCCGCGCCAGCTCCTCCGGCTCCAGCGGCGGAGCGGAGGGCTCCGGCGGCCCCGGCGGGGCGCCGTGCGCCGGCGGGCCGCCCAGCGGCCCGCGCGGCGCGCCGCACACGGCGCAGGCCGGCAGCCGCGCCTCCGGGCCGGCGTGCTCGTAGGTGCACTGCCCGCAGGCCCAGGGCCCGGCGGCGGCGCCCGGCGGCGGCCCCGCCACGGCCTGCTCGGCGAGGGGGGCGCCGAGGGCCGCCGCCGCGGGGGCCAGCGCCACGACGCTCCGCGAGGCCTCGTAGGAGGCCTGCGCGGTGTTCTGCAGCACCCGCAGCAGCTGCACGCGGTCCGCCTCGGTCTCCACCCGGAAGCTGCGCTCCTCGCGGAGGGCCCCTCGGTCCAGGATCTTCATCGTGAAGCCAAAAGACCTCGTGGTCACCGAGGTGCTCTGCAGGGCCCGGCGGACCCTGCCCTCGAACAGGGAACCCACGAAACTCTTGATGCCGGCCTCTTCCAGTGGCTTGGCTATCAGCTGCGTCGGATCCATGGGCAGGTAGATGACCACGGTAGGCATCGCTGCATCTGGCAGCGTGTGCGTTGCCCCGCTGGCTGCCAAAGGGGCCTCGTACAGCGCGATCTGCAGCGACGGTGTCACCGCAACCTCCACCATGCAGCGCGAACACGTCAACGTGAAGGCGTAAGCCGGTGCCCTGAGCGTTGTCTGGCAATTGAAGCACGTGACGTTCACCGCTCCTGCCCAGCGCCCTGAGTTTACCCTGCGGTCCTGCAACACCACCATCCACATCGGCTGCCAGTTCGGCAGCGCCAACATTCGAACCTCGTCGTGGTCCACCCAACCCGCCCACAACTTCATACTGGACTCCAACGTCCGGACGCATGCAACATTGCGAACCCTACGCGCCACGTCCAGAGGGGTGGTGCCGTCTTGGGCGGCGATGCAAGGGTCTGCTCTGTGTTCGAGCAGGACCTGGACGCACTCCGCGCTTCGCTGGCTCTGGCACCCCGCGGCGCAGTGGAGGGCAGTTCTTCGCTCGCCGTTCATCGCGTCGATCTGGACCTTGGGAAGGTCCAGGCCGTGGCTCTGAGGGTCGAGCAGCGCGCGCAGCACCTGGGTGACGATCAAACACGGGTCTTGCGCGAGACGGCGGCGGCTTACGCGGGCCGCCAGCGCAGCAAGCCACAATGGAGACGAGGGCGTTTACGCGCGACCTTACGCCGGCAGCTTGCGCGCCAATGTCGGTGAAGACGATCCCCTTGTATTGCGTCGCTCACCTGTGGGTTTGCCGAGGTGGCGGCCAACTGCAGGATGTTGAACCCCGTGGAGCTCACTATCTCGTTGAGGTCTAGCGCCTTGAGGGCCTCGGACTCTCTGTTCCGCTTCGCGCCAGCAGGTGCAGTTCGAGCCTCCGAGAGGCGCTGCAAGAAACCCATGGCCGCGGGCAGATCTCCAGACCGCACGTGTCCGGCCAGGCTGTCCAGCGCCTGCTGGCTCGGGTTGTTGCCCATGGCTCCAGTGACCCCGGCGGGCACACGGATTCAGCAGTAATGATCACGTCTCCCTGCCCTTGGGCCACAGCGGCTACGGATAGATGGGGAGGAGGAGGAGGAGGAGGAGGAGGAGGAGGAGGAGGAGGAGGAGGAGGAGGAGGAGGAGGAGGAGGAGGAGGAGGAGGACCCAGACATGCTCGAGTCGCGAAAATTCACGACGGGATGATTTGGCCGTTGTCAACCTCTGGGGGCCCTCGCCGGGCCCAAGATCGTCAAACAACGACTTGGGATAAGAAACCGGGCCTGGGGGCATGGTCGGGACGTCTGGGGACCCCGTTTGGGACACTTCGGCTACACGTAAGAATGACCCTGGGGAAGAGTGACCTCCGGTGCCCGACCTGAGCGGGGACGCGGGGCGGCCAAACCCGGGCGCGCGAGCCGCTGCTGCCGCTTCGCCTTCGGCGATCGGGGACCCCACTGGGCCCGCACCGAGGGTCCCTTCGGCGAAAGGTCACTCTGACGTGTAGCCGAACACAAAAGCATCGGATGTCTGAGGAGGAGGAGGAGGAGGAGGAGAGAGGAGGAGGAGGAGGGGGAGGAGGAGAAGAGGAGGAGAGGAGGAGGAGGAGGAGAGGAGGAGGAGGAGGAGAAGGGGAGGAGGAGGAGGAGGAGGAGGGGGAGGAGGAGGGAGGAGGAGGAGGAGAAGGAGGGGGAGGGGGAGGGGGATGATGATGATGATGAGGAGGAGGAGGAGGAGGAGGAGGAGGAGGAGGAGGAGGGAGGAGGAGGAGGGGGAGGAGGAGAGGAGGAGGAGGAGGGGGGGAGGGGGATGGAGGAGGAGGAGGAGGAGGAGGAGGAGGAGGAGGAGGAGGAGGAGGAGGGGAGGAGGAGGAGGAGAAGGAGGAGGAGGAGGAGGAGGAGGAGGAGGAGGAGGAGGACGAGGGGGAGGAGGAGGAGAAGGAGGAGGAGGAGGTTCAAGACCATCGGCCTGCACGATCGCCAGAGCCCAGCGGGAGACCAGGTCGGTGGGAGGCCGTGGCCTCCGCAGTACTGGCTCGTGTACGAGAAGCATACACAGAACCAGAGGAAGATGGGATAATGAGGGGGGACAGGACCCAGACTCCCTCGGGTAGTGAAACATCATAACGGGAGCTTGTTCCATATTCTCGGCCTCTGGAGGCTCTTACCGGCCCTCGGGACCGTCAAACAACGACTCAGGATGAAAAACTGGACCAGGGGACTGGGTCGAGACCTCGGAGGGTCGACGTTATGAACAAGCACATCATGACGTCGGGGGTCTGGGGAGGGAGGCTCTGCGGGGAGATGGGGGAGGCCACCAACTGCGGGGGTCCTGACAGGTCTTGTGCACGTTGCGTCGAGAGTATGCGTCTCTGCGCTTATTATCATGTCGCCCCTGTGCCTGACCTGTCTTGAGCTGCTCGCCTCGGCTTGCCCAGAACCCAGGAGAACATGCCCTCGGTTTGAGCGCGAGCGTGACACGTGCGATTGTAATTTAAGCTGACGGGCCCGGTCAGTTTATGATCACTTGCTGATCCCACGCTGCGGAGGAGAAACCGAGGGAGGGGGTAAGAGGAGAAGAGTGAAAAGGAGGTTTCCTCCTATTCTTTCTCTGTCCGCCTGGTTACTGGGGATTCAGGCGGGTTGCACATGATGTTCTAAGGGCTTCAGTGGCGGTCGTGCAAACAGACGGTCCAGACGGAGACCCGAACGTTTGAAGCTGCCCTTCGTTTGCAATTGTTCTTCCCTGGTGCCGCACTGGTGCCTGGCAGGAGGAGGAGGAGGAGGAGGAAGAGGAGGAGGAGGAAGAGGCGGAGGAGGATGAGGAGGAGGAGGAGGAAGAGGAGGAGGAGAAAGCTACGGAAGATCAGCTGCCTTGAGATATCCCCGGGGGACGGTACGGCGAACTGTAGACTGCCCCAACCTCCGTAATTCTGACCGGAAGACTGATCAAAGCGGTCTAGAGGGCGGGGGGAGGCTCCCCCATCCTGGCATGTGGGCGGCAGCTCTCTTCTCATGCACTGCGCGCCGCAGGAAGGGTGGACTTCGGGGCAGTGCGGCTCGGGGACTGCGGACCAGGCGCGCAGCGGGGCGCTGGGCCCCCTATGGCGCACGATCCATGCGATGGGGTGTCCCGAATCAGGCGGAAGCCCCCACTGGGGCCGCAATGAGGCGGAGCTCCCCGTGGGGCACGATCCGCGAGGTGGGCGTGTCGAAGTGGGCGGAGGCCCGCACAGAAAACGCGCAGGCTGGGGCCGAAGGTGTGGCTGCCTGGGGGCCGGCCTTTCTTTCACTCGGGCGGTCTGGTCTGCCGCCGCCTCCTGCGAGGGCCTCCTCCTTCTCAATTTCCCCCCCTCGCTCGCCGCCGACCGGCACGCCCTTCTCGAATGCTGCTCGCCCTTCGGATGCCTGAGGCTGGAGGTCGGACAACTTGGTGGGGTCGGGCGGTTCTGAACTCGGGCGGTCGGAGCGGCCGGGCGGTCCACAAACTCGGGCGGCCCGGTCGAATCGGCCAGACCCTGACTCGGGCGTTCGGGCTGGGCGGGCGGGCGCCCTACGGCCAGGAACTTCTGCACGGCGTGCCGCCGCGGTGGCCCTGGCGACACCCCATGCCCTGCAAGCGGGCAGCGCGTCGCTCCGCCCGGCGGGGCGGGAGGCTCGGAAGAGGCTCGGGACGCTGCAGCCAGGGGGCCGGGAAAAGGATAGCGTGTCGCGCTGACGCGTGGTGGGCCAGGGCCCGCGGAGCGACACGCTAAGCCAAAGCTCCCGACCGCAGGCCTGACTGATGATCAGGACCCACCTGGCTTTCGGGCCATTAACTACTCGGCTCTCCGGCGACCGCTCGGGACGATCTGGGCCCCCCCCGAACGCCCTCGGCGAGGCGCAGCCGCTGGAGCGCCTTCCGAGGCTGGCACTTCCGCCGAGGGCCTACGAAAAGGCCCACGAAAACTTGCAGCCCCCGGAGGAGGAGGAGGAGGAGGAGGAGGAGGAGGAGGAGGAGGAGGAGGAGGAGGAGGAGGAGGAGGAGGAGGAGGAGGAGGAGGAGGAGGAGGAGGAGGAGGAGGAGGAGGAGGAGGAGGAGGAGGAGGAGGAGGAGGAAGGAGGAGGAGGAGGAGGAGGGGAGGAGGAGGGAGGAAGAGGAGGAGGAGGAGGAGGAGGAGGAGGAGGAGGAGGAGGAGGAGGAGGAAGGAGGAGGAGGAGGAGGAGGAGGAGGAGGAGAGGAGGAAAGGAGGAGGAGGAGTGGCGGGTTGGGTCGTGCGGGGGCCTCTGCTCGGGCGGGGCGCATACGGGCTGCACCTCGGGCGGGCCTCGGGCGGGCCTCGGGCCGGGTCGGCTGGGCGCGCCCGGGGCTGGGCGGTCGGGAGGCGGGGTGCGGGGTCCTCAGGGGGGTGCGCCCGCCAGCTCGGGAGCTGAGGGTGCAAGAGCGGGGCAGCCGAACCAGGGGGGGGGGGGAGGACGCGGGAGAGAGAGAGAGAGAGAGAGAGAGAGAGAGAGAGAGGAGCCGGGCAGCGAGGCGAGGGCACAAGGTGGGGGGAGTGCGGGGCGAGGGGGGAAGGCTGCAAATTGGGCGGGGGGGGAGGAAGGAGGGGACGTGGGAGGAGACGGGGGGGGGAGTGAGGCTGAGGGCGCAGAAGGTGCATGATGAACATGCTGATTGTTCGTGTGCTGGTGGTGGTTGTGATGACACTGCGGATGAGGATGATGATGATGATGAGGATGATGATGATGCTGATGACGATGCTGATGAGGATGCTGCTGATAATGCTGATGGCGATGCTGCTGATGCTGCTGATGGTGCTGCTGCTGATGATGATGATGTTGATGCTGCTGATGTTGATGCTGTTGGTGGTGATGATGATGCTGTTGGTATTCGAGGCGATGACGATTATGCTGATGGTGGTGATGATGCTGATGCTGATGCTGATGCTGATGCTGATGCTGACGATGGTGATGGTGATGATGAGGAGGAGAAAGAGGACTCCGCTGGTGGCGCGTTGGTCAACACAAGCGCAGACCCTGGCCTCAAGGGCACGCCCAAGAAACGAAGACACCAGGGACCCTCCGGCCACAGCCGAAGGACGGCCCTCGCAGGCGGCAGCAGGCCTGGGCCCTGCCGCGCCCGTGCAACGAGATCGGCACGCAGGGCGCTGCCCTGCCCACGAAGACGGCAACGCTCGCGGCGGGACGCACCCCGCCGACCGGCAGGGAGCTCGGACGTCGAGGGAGGAGCCCCGCCGCGCGCCATCCCGGACAGCTCCTCCTCGGCCTTCTGGCGGGGACAGGAACTTAGGTCGGGCATGTCCCCCACAGGCGGATCATGGGTGAAAAAAAAACATACTTAAAAAGTGCCCCAAAATAGCAAAAAATGCTAAAAGATCGTCCACCGACTATTTTTTGACTATTTTGGAATATCCCCCCTGTAGAGACCCAGACCTCCAACGCATCGAACAAAGCATGCACAAGACCGGAGGCTCTGGCTCGCTCTCGGCGTCGAGGCCCTCGCCGGGCCCCTGGACTGTCCAACGACCGGCTGGGACGCAGGGCCAGGCCCTGGGAAGTGGTCCAGAGCTCCGGGGACCTCGTCGTTATGGAACCAAAAAACCGAAACGTCGGTCTGGGAAGCCGCGTCACCGCGGCGGCCTGGCCCACGCGGGGCGGGGCGCGCCTGCTTGAGCCGAAGCGCGCGGGCGCGGTCGTCGTCGTCGCTGTCGTCGTCGTCGTCGCCGGCGGCGGCGGAGCAGGGGACCTCCCTCCTCCGCGGCTGCCCAGGCAACATTTTCACCCTCCATCCCGGGACGCGCCGCGTGCGAAGCGACACTGGACCGAGTCTCTGACGCCGCACTCGTCGCCCTCTTCGGGGCGCCAGGTGGAGGCAGCCGTGCAGCGCAGCGGCGCGCGTCTGAGCCGGCCTGGCGCGTCTGCCAACCCCAGGGACGCGCCGGGAGCCGGAGAACAAGAAGCTTCCGAGCCTCACGAGGTCCCCGCAGGGGGAGGCCCCCCCCACCGCCTTGCCCACGATCTCGACGAGCTCCGCTGCCGTCGCCTCCCATGCGTCCGCGAGGGAGCCCGCAGGC